ACTGACTGGTTAGTCTCCTAGAGTATTCTCGCATACACAAAGCATCTCTTCCTGTCTGTACTAGGTTACTCTGATAGACCTGGGGCAACATTTAAACGTGCCTAAGATGGTACGCTGTCCTCTCCTGTTGAACCCGACTGAACATGTTATTTCTGATGTTTCTTTTTATGATCTCTGTACTGCTGCTATGTGATGAAAATAAAAAAAGAATTGAAAAAAACCTTTATGATTTACTATAGTAAGCATGCACATAGAATAATATAAAACCACCTGATGATCAGCCTGATAGTGGTTTTTAAATACTTTTATCCATTAACAAGTCAAGTACATATCCGAAAATTCCATAATTTAGATCAAGACATATGAAGGTGACAGCTTTGAGCCCCTCTGTTGACTGTACACACAAATTGTTTAAACCTTTCACTGAAAAAAAAAAAAAAAAAACCTTCTGATGTGTTCTTACCACTTTCTCCAGCTCCACTTCAAAGCAGATCAGGGAGTCATTTAATTTGTTTGAGCTGCCAGCTCAGTGTTACACTACACCACCACTTCCAACTTCACTTGGTGAAAACAAACTCGTCTTGGAGACCCAGTGGCACCTATTCCTCCCTTCAACTGCTTTAATACTAAAGTCAACACTCTCATCAAGGCTTCCTTATATCAATTTTATGCTGAGTTTTGTTCTGCTGCCATTATCAAGATTGAAGGTTTAAAAGATGAAATACTCTAAATAAGCCTTTCTCAAACATGGAGGAACCCTTAAAACTATTTTCTTGTCTCAGGAAACTCCTGTAAAAACATATATCTACACATTATGGTACTCTAAGGATGCAGATATAAATAATGAGAGAAGAATTCTAAATGCTGTGCACAAAGCATATTTGACCTTCATAGAAAGTTTTTACAATGGAAAAAGTGGTATTTTACACATCACTTAGGTGTTCACTGTAGAACTGCCCTTTAGACTGGTAGTCAAGTGTAATAGTACCTCCCTTACATTGGTGGTCAGTCAAAAAGTGGACGCCTGAATTTTTTTAGATCAGAGTAGCAGTACAGAGGTGGTCACATCGCATGGAACCCCAAGCAACCTCTGGAAGAACCGTGAAACTTTGGTTGAGAAAGGCTGGGCAAAATGGAGTTATTTTGTTTGTTTTTTATATAATCTATAATGGTAATTTCCAAACTTATTTTGTGCTTTTTAAAACTTACATTCATTTGAAGTATGTTTGCTATGGGAGGTAAAAATGGTGGTCATTCCAGGGGTGGGGTGGTATTAGTACTGCTTGGACAAAAGTAGTGACCATGGTAGACAAATAACCAAGATTTGGAAAACACAAAATCACCACCATAATGTGGGGGTGTAGCATAATGTATAATACAAGAAGCAATTGAGCGCAACTAGGTTGCAATTAAAAGGAGTGTAGCATAATGTGTAGTGGTATTGTTTCTAGGGTTTACATAATAAAGTTGTTACACCCTAAAAACTAAAGCATGCATCATTCACATCATCAGATTGCTAAATTGCCAAGTACATTGAGCATACAGACCAACAGGTATATTTGGCAGCAGCAGGCACCTGGGAGCTTTAGCAATGATTAATCCCGGGTTTGCAAAGATGCATCACTAGATGTAATTTAACATTGCGACTGATGCGATGGCCATAACATGTTATATGGCAAGTCTCAGTTCTTGTCATCTGCCAAAAAAAAAAAATACATTTTGGTTATGCTTGAATTCTGATGGTTCAGTAGATGCTGATATAGTTGACATAATTGTATTGTTATGGAACAATCCACTGTCATTAATGAGACTCTGCCATAAAAAAAAACTGCTGTGGGTATAAAGTGTGGGCACCTACAGTGGGGAAAATGATTGATCCCCTTTAGATTTTGTATGTTTGCCCACTTACAAAGACATGAAGAGTCTATAATTTTTATCATAGGTGTACTTTAAATGATAGAGATTATCAACCAAAAAAACACATGATATAAATGTTATAGTTGTAGTTCACTGAGTAAAATAAGTATTTTATCCCCTACCAACCAAGAATAATTCTGACTCCCACAGACTGGCTATGTGCTCATGTGGTACACAGATTAGTTCTGTCAATTTAACCGCTTCCATACAGGGCACTTTTACCCCCTTCCTGCCCAGGCCATTTTTCAGGTTTAAGCGTTCTCACACTTTGACAATTGCGTGGCCATACAACAATGTACCCAAACTAAAATTTTATCATTTTCTTCACACAACTAGAGCTTTCTTTTGGGGTATTTAATCAACACTGGAGTTTTTATTTCTTGCTAAAGTAACAAAAAAATACAGAACATTTTGAAAAAAAAACAAAAAAAACACGTTTTTCTTTGTTTCTGTTATAAAAGTTTGCAAATAAATAATTGTTCTTCAAAAATTTAGGCCAAGATGTATTCTACTACATTTCTTTGGCGAAAATAAGCCAAATTAGGATGTATTATTTAATTTGTAGGAAAGTTATAGAGTTCACAAACTATGGGATATATCTGAAAATTGATCAATCCTGAAGTACTGAAGGCCAATCTAATTTCTTGAGGTCCAAGAATGTTAGAACAGTACAGATATCCCCCAAATAACCCCTTTTTGCAAAGTAGACAGTCCGACATATTTCATAAAAGGCATGGCGAGTTTTTTGAAGTTTTTTTTTACATACTTTCACCAGTGCAGTACAGCGTCATCATATAACTGGCATGCGGTGATCAGGGACACTGACTGGTGATAGTACGAAAAAAAAAAAATTGATAATTTTTTCTAATTTTTTTATTAGTTTTAATTTTTTATTACATTTATAACATTGTACTACTTTGGGGAAGTGATCAGTATTTTTTTTTTTTTTTTTACACAATTTGCTTATAGCAAAGAATTACTTTGCTATAAGCAAGAATTTACCTGAATGACATCGATTCATTCAGGGTTTTTTTTTTGTGCTTAGCTGTGATTTTGCCACGACTAATCACATGACACAGCTGGGCTGTGATTGGTCCAGCTTGTGCATGTGATCGCTGTGACCATTCACAATGGATGGCATGAAAGGAAGCCATCCCTTGTATACAACTGTCATGTGACCTGCTGTGATTGGTACTGGAAAGGCGCACTACGCATACCTGAAAGGACACCATATGGCGTCCACCAGGAGGGATGAGCTGCTCACCCAGCCACCACCTGGCTATAAGCGGGCGGCAACTGGTTAAGAAGGTGTTCCTAACCACAACTTGTTATATGTATAAAATATACATGTCCACAGAATCTCTTTTTTTCCATACAAACCTCAATACCATAGGCAAGATCAAAGAGCTGTCAAAGGATACCAGGGACAAAATTGTAAACCTATACAAGGCTAGAATGGGCTACAAGACCATCAGCAAGAAGATTGGTGAGAAGGAGACAACTATTTGAGCGATTATTTGCAAATGGAAGAAATACAAAATAACCATTAATCACCCTCGGTCTAGAGCTCCATGCAAGATTTTGCCTCATGGGGTAAGGATGACCATGGATTGAAATCCTGCAGCTCCTGCAAGGTCCCCCCCCCCTCAAGAAGGCACATGTACAGGCCCATCTGAAGCTTGCCACTGAACATCTAAATGATTCAGAGAAGGATTGGAAAAAGTGCTGTAGTGAGCCGAGACCAAAATTGAGCTCTTTGGCATTAACTTGACTCGCCGTGTTTGTAGGAAGAAAAATGCTGATTATGACCATAAGAACACCATCCCTACAGTCGAGCACGGAGGAAACAATATGATTTGCGTCTGTTTCTCTGCTAAAGGTACAGGCTGACTTTGCCGCATTGAGGGGCCAATGGAAGGGTCATGTATTGTAAAATCTTGGAAAGAACCTTCTTCCCTCGGCCAGAACACTGAAGATGGGTCTTCCAGCATAACAATGACCCAAAACATGCCGCCAAGGCAACAAAGAAGTTGCTCAAGAAGAAGCCAATTAAGGTCCTGGAGTGGCCTAGCCAGTTTCCAGACCTTAATCCTATAGAAAATTTATGGAGGAGCTGAAAGTTTGAGTTGCAAAGTGACTGCCAAGAAACCTTAAGTATTTAGAGATCTGTAAAGAAGAGTGGACTAAAATCCTTCCTGAGATGTGCGCAAACCTGGTAACCAATTACAAGAAATGTCTTACATCTGTGCTTGCCAACAAAGGTTTCTCCACCAAGTACTAAGTCATGTTTTGCTTGGGGATCAATACTTATTTTACTCACTGAACTGCAACTCAATTTATAACATTTATATTATGTGGTTTTTTTTCTGGATTTTGGTTGATATTCCATCTCTATCGTTTAAAATACACCTATGATAAAAATTATAGACCCTAAATTTTTTAAGCAGGCAAACGTAAAAAATCTGCAGGGGATCGAATAATTATTTTCCCAACTGTAGAGATGTTGGCACATACTTGCAGCAACCTCTAATACCCTATTGCTGAATGCTGGTCTACTTTGACAGGCAAACTTGCAAAACTTTCAAGCAGTGTTGGAACTTGTGGCTACGTCTTGCCACATTCATTACGATTGGCTACTTTGCTGACTAATAGAAGAGTGTAGGAGGTAAGAAGGGATGGGTGAGTTTTTTGTATGATCAAGATGTGTTGAAGCTCTGGCTGTCACAATATTACCTATCACACTGGAGGTAATATTATGCTTTTTGGTATAATGACATGAACTATGCTATGGATAGATTTCACTTATTAATATATAACATAGCTACAGTGAATCCATCTCACATGATTAGAAATGCACATGATTAGAATAGCACCAGTTGCACAGCTCTTGATGTACACAGGATGATGTGTTTTGGCACACAGACTTATGAAGGTTGGTGCTTCCTGTGACTGTGCGTGCAGCCTTGTGCTGCCATCTGTTGGCATGTTACAAAACTAGTCTCAAAACTTTTTTGATACCACCTTGTACTGCATGTAGCTCTATCCACTCATTACATACCTGATGAAATTAGGGTCAGTAAATGTCACCGGATATGAACCATCTCACCAAGGAAAGGGGTCTTCATGCAACCTGTGCAGAGCTGGTCCATCCACAGAGGTGCTTCATGCTGCAGTGGGGTACGTCGCGGATAGAATGTGAAGTTGATATCATAGTTTAATAGGCAACTAATAGAAGCCATATAGATGTCCGAAAATCTGATGAGCCTTCTAGAGAAGTAGGTTGGGTTGTGATAAGTTCTAAAAATGCTTCCAAACTGTGGGTTAAATAGATTCTTTGTAACAGACCTGGAGATAAAAAAAAAAACAACAGTGAAAACCCATGTAGCTTAAAGGGGTAGTAAAGGCTTTCTAGAAAAAAAAATATACCAGGCTCCCTGCAAGTTAATGCCATACGGTGCTAGTATGCACTGCATTCTAGCACATTATGGCAGACTTACCTTTTAAAAGAAGCCCCCAGCAATGCACTGTCACTGCTGCCAGGCTTCCATCTTTACCCGGGCTTCCACCCAGGTCTGCGCATGGGAGTCATGCTCACGGCACAGTGCTCTGAATTGACAGCACACTCAGTGTGCACTCAATACAGAGCACAGTGCTCCGGTGACTTCACCGGCTGCTGAAATTGTGAATATCTCCTAGTTTTCCAAGTTTAGGGATATTCTCTGTACTAAGTTAAGTTGATAATAAAGCTTACTTGTGTACAAGTGAAAAAGCGGAGTTTACTACTGTTTTAATACCCATCTTTTTTGTCTAGGGTGGAGAAGGGTTGGAAAATCTCTGAAGTTTAACATGTTATCCATGCCGCCTTTGAGATTTTTCCGTCTGAGGTTGCATGCTGTCTGTGTGCTCAGAGGAGTCCTGTTCTGACACTTGTCAAATGAACAGTCAGTAAGGGGGAAATTTCCCAGGTGAAGACACCACAATAACTAAAAATCCTGAAAGATGTTCTAATCCATCTTAACACTACTAGACAGATTTTTATTGCTGCCTGTGTCCGCACTGAGGGATTTCCCCTTATTTCCTCCTGTTTGATACCCACCAAATAAACAGGAACCTATGCTTTCAAGTGCCATAATGAAAGATGATTTCTGATTGGTAGGGTTACTAATTATTGGTTTTTGCCTTATTAAAGGGTCAGTCCACTCAAAAGAGCTTCCGGTGCTGGCGCCGCATGTGAGGACGGCGGGACCCATGGCTCCGGAAAGATCAGCTTAAAAAGCCGGCTATCTTCAGCAGGGGTGACATAAAATCGGCACAAAAGTGCCCCCTGATCCCCCCCAGACTTACCTGCCATGGAACGATTCCTCCTCTCGGTCCCAAACGGCCCTGGATCGGCGGAGGAGGCAGAGGGAAGCAGCTCTCCCCCTTCTGCAGCCAAGATGGCAGCCGAGCACAGCAGCAGCAGCATGGACACAGGACAAGGTATGGCAGAGACACAGACACAAGTCACAGCCGCACTGAGCCATGCTGACACCTGTAGTTCCACAGACCAATATGACAAAATAGCACAAGCTGTTGCTTCCTTACTGTTACCCACTATTACCCAGGCTGTGGACAGAGCAGTTGCAATGGGAATAGATCAGTTTAGATGAGACCTGGGTGACAACGCCAAACACATATGTTCCAGTATAGCTCTGTGCAGAAAAAATGCAGCATGTTCTACTTTTCTTTCTGTCCCGGAAACTGACTGCACTGGTGTGAACTAGGGCCATCGGATTACATGGAAAACACTGTGCATGCATTTTTGCAGCAGAAAAAAAGCGCACTGAACTGCATCTAGCGTGAACTAGCCCTAAGGATTTGTTGATCTGGTCTTTAACCACTTCAGCTCCAGAAGATTTTACCCCCTTCCTGGCCAGGCCATTTTTTGCTCTTTGGCACTGTGCTACTTTAACTTGCAATTGCTCGGTCATGTAACACTGTACCCGCATGAAATTTATATACCGTATTTTTCGCTCCATAAGACGCACTTTTTTCCCCCAAAAAAAGGGGGGAAAATGTCAGTGCGTCTTATGGAGCAAATATGGAGCGGCCGGTCCGGTATTTCCACTGCCGCCGTGTCAGAATACCGGGCCGGCCGCTCAGCTCTACAGCGGGACCTTATAGAGATGACTGCTGACCTTTGGGGAGGGAGGGGGAGCGGGTACCTGAATTTGACAGGTACCCGCTCCCACTTCCGTGGAGTTGTTCTTTCATCTTACCCGTTCCTCTATCCAGCGGCGCGGTCTTCCCGGCTTCTGTAGTGTGGGCATGACAGCTGGGTGCCAAGTGCGCATGCGCAAGAAGCGGTGCTTTTTGTGAATGGTAAGGCGGCACCTGGGACACATGACAGATCCCAGAAGCCGCCGGACTAATCACAAAGCACAAGTGCTTCTCGCTCATGCGCACTGGGCACCCGGCTGTCATGCCGAGCGCCATTACAGAAGCCGGGAAGACAGCGCGCGGCTGGATAGAGGAACAGGTAAGATGAAAGAACAACTCTGCGGAAGTGGGAGCGGGTACCTGTCAAATTCAGGTACCCGCTCCCCCCCCTCCCCAAAGGTCAGCAGTCATCCCCTGTACTATCCACAGTCTCTGGTCATCCCTGTACTGTCCGCAGTCTCTGGTCATCCCTGTGCTGTCCGCAGTCTCTGGTCATCCCTGTACTGTGTCCGCAGTCTCTGGTCATCTCCTGTACTGTGTCCGCAGTCTCTGGTCATCTCCTGTACTGTGTCCAGTCTCTGGTCATCTCCTGTACTGTGTCCGCAGTCTCTGGTCATCTCCTGTACTATGTCTGCAGTCCATTAGTTCAGAATTTTTTTTTCCTGTTTTCTGCCTCTAAAACCTAGGTGCGTCTTATGGTCAGGTGCGTCTTATGGAGCGAAAAATACGGTAATTTTTTCACACAAATAGAGCTTTCTTTTGGTGGTATTTGATCTCCACTAGGTTTTTTATTTTTTACTATATAAATGAAAAGGCCAAAATATTTGGAAAAAAAGATACGTTTTATTATAAAACATATCCTATAAAAAAATTTTAAAATCTAATTTCTTCATAAATTTAGGCCAAAATGTATTCTACTACATGTGTTTGGTACAAACAAAATCTCAATAAGTGTATAATATTAAGTTTGTGTGAAAATTTTAGCATCTACAAGCGATGGTATATATTGAAATTTGTATTAATTCATTTTTACTAGTAATGGCGATGATCAGTGAATTTTAGTGGAAATGTGTACGAGGGCAATCAGACACTGACGCTGGGTGGGAACTGACTAAATGACACTTCCAGATACACTAATACAGTGATCAATACTGATACTATACACTGTCACTGTAATGACACTGACTGGGAAGGGGTTAACATCTAGGGGCAATCAAATGGGCTAATGGAGTGTCTAACATGTACTGTGTGGAATACATACTGCTTTTACTGCTAGATGTGACTTTTTTATCTCCCTTTTATCTCCTTTCTGTGCAGGGAGAAAAAAAAAACAGTCACATTACTGCTTCTCTGTTCAGAGCCCTGTACTGTTTGTCAACACAGCTCCAAACTGTAATTCACTAAGCTGTTCAGCAGGTCCCGGCCATAAATCATTGGCCGGGACCTAATGATAGGATTATGTTGTAGCGAATGACAGCATAGAAGGGGCAGCGAGAGTGTGGATTCAAGCAAAGGGGCAATCTAGAGCTCTATACAATGCTCTGTGACAAACAAACCAATACTTTAGATGTCTGGGAAATGCATAAGCAGAGGACAGTGCCAGTGGGTCACATTATAGGCCAAACAATATTTGGTCCAGGGGGATCTAGGTACTGCCTCCAAGACAGTGCAGAGGGTTTTCTATCTGAATAACTGTATAGGGAAAAGAACTCAGTAGTATACCAATGGAATCTTGACTGAAGTAAAAAAATCAAGATTAAGAGATAACCATGTCTAGAAAAAATGGTTAAACTTTTCTTTGAAGAGAAAAGAAGTCCATCCCTAGGGCACTATGAAAAATAATGAAGCATAATGGGAGTGGGAGTTGTTATTCCCAACTGGATAATGCTTTTTGTTTGCCACCATCCAATTCTTCCTGTAGACAGCTACAGTCAACAGCAATAGTCTCTGATTTAATTTCAATCCTGTATTCCTTCATGAGCAAGAAAGAAATGCCTTTTATCATTAAATATTTATCTGGTTACTCTCCTTTTCTTTCCAGGTGGTGAGCATAGATTTCAGGGAATTACGTGATAGCAGGAAGTGATCTACTACAGGAACATCAGTACATTAGACTTAAAGCACTCCAACACATCCAAAGCTGGTGGGGAGGAGATGTATGGGCTGATCTTTACATGGCACAGTCAGGAAGTTGGTACACATGGACGGAGAAATACTAAGCCTAGGTTCACATGATGCAATGCAATTTCAATCTGTTTTTGATTTCGATTTCAAGGGGTAATTGCAGTATGAACCGATGCACTTCCAATGTGATTCTGATGCAATTTGGACACAATATAGACACAGCTGTCTTTTCTATGCTGTGTGAGGAGCTTGTACTGAGTGCTTGAAATCGGATGACAATAGGACAGATAAGCGATCTGAAAGTATTTCCATTGAAATCTAAGGACCTGAGAATCTCATTGCAATGCACCAAACTCGTACAGGACCTTTTTCAAAATCACTGCATGTAAGTGAACGGGCTCCATAGAAACTCATGTTATTTCACATGTCATGCAGTTTAATGCGTTGTGAACTGCATTATAAAACGCTTCAGTGTGAACCAGGACAAACCCTCTTTTTGATGCAGTCTTTTCCCAAACAGGAAAGCTTTCCCATTACTTCCTGTTCTGACAAGAACTGGAGTCAAATCCCAACTGTGGAGACACAGACTGCAAATAAAAACCCAGTAGTGTTTTAAACTCTTTATCATTCTGTCCAAATCTAAAAAAGAAAAAAAAAAATGTTTTGGCTGAAGTCCATGCCGGGACAAGGTCATCTAGTGTCCAGGACAAACACAGCAAACTGAGCTCCCCGCTACCCCCCAATGTATGAGCATTACATGTCCCCCCCCCCCCCAAAAAATAGAAAAACATTTTAACATTTGAGCACTAACCTGCATGCTTACCACCTAAGCATACATTCCCCCTCCTCCCAGTACAAATTTACAAGTATCCATGGGGATCCTGGGAGTAGATGGGGCAGGTAAGCAAGCCCTGCACAGTCCTGCAGTAGCAGGAGGATGTGCTAGAGGGAAGAGAGCGCGTAGCCCTTGCCTCCTTCCTGCTCTTTCCTCCTAGCCAGATTTAGCTTGTCTATTCCAGTACTGAGCTGACAGAAGTAGTGATGCTGATGTGATTACTGCAGCAGCAGGAACTCTCCTCCTCCTCACCCCCCCCCATCCTTGTCCCAGCCCTGAATAGAGTAGAGACATTACCTTAGTTCCTGACGTTCTCTCATCCACTCAATGAGAACTTGTTTTGATTCTGCATCTTGATACATCTAGGATAAGAAATTATTTTTCATTGGTCACTTGTACTGCTATGCTCCATTTATGCCAAAATAAGGTCAATACTTTGCACCAGCATTACATGCAGAATTAGAGTGAAACTCCATACTGATAAAATATTGCATAAAAAAGATTTAATGCAGTTGTGTATTCCTTTAAAAATAATTGTATATATTTGTGCATTCCACTAGCATACAGTGGATATAAAAAGTCTACACATCCCTGTTAAAATGTCAGGTTTCTGTGATGTAAAAAAATTAGACAAAGATAAATAATTTCAGAACTTTTTCCACATTTAATGTGACCTATAATCTGTACAATTCAATTGAAAAACAAACTGAAATCTTTTAGGCGGGGAAGTAAACATAAAAAAACTAAAATAATGTGGTTGCATAAGTGCACACACCCTCTTATAACTGGGGATGTAGTTGTGTTCAGAAGTAAGAAATCACATTCAAAATAATGTTAAATAGGAGTCAGTACACACCTGCCAACATTTAAAGTGCCTCTGACTAACCCCAAATAAAGTTCAGCTATTCTAATAGGTCTTTCCTTACATTTTCTTAGTCGCATCCTATAGCAAACGCCATGGTCTGCAGAGAGCTTCCAAAGCATCGGAGGGATCTCATTGTTAAGAGGTATCAGTCAAGAGAAGGGTACAAAAGAATTTAAAAGGCATTAGATATACCATGGAACACAGTGAAGACAGTCATCATCAAGTGGAGAAAATATGGCACAACAGTGACATTACCAAGAACTGGACGTCCCTCCAAAATTGATGAAAAGACGAGAAGAAAAACTGGTCTGGGAGGCTGCCAAGAGGCTTACAGCAACATTAAAGGAGCTGCAGGAATATCTGGCAAGTACTGGCTGTGTGATACATGTGACAACAATCTCCCGTATTCTTTATATGTCTGGGCTATGGGGTAGAGTGGCAAGATGAAGTCTTTTCTTACAAAGAAAAACATCCAAGCCCGGATACATTTTGCAAAAACACATCTGAAGTCTCCCAAAAGCATGTGGGAAAATGTGTTATGGTCTGATGAAACCAAGGTTGAACATTTTGACAATAATTCCAAAAAATATGTTTGGAGCAAAAACAACACTGCACATCACCAAAAGAACACCATACCCACAGTGAAGCATGGTGGTGGCAGTATCATGCTTTGGGGCTGTTTTTCTTCAGCTGGATCTGGGGCCTTAGTCAAGATCGAGGGGATTATGAACAGTTCCAAATACCAGTCAATATTAGCACAAAATCTTTAGGCTTCTGCTAGAATGCTGAACATGAAGAGGAACTTCATCTTTCAGCATGACAATAACCCAAAGCAAACATCCAAATCAACAAAGGAATGGCTTCACCAGAAGAAGATTCAAGTTTTGGAATTGCCCAGCCAGAGTTCAGACCTGAATCTAATCGAAAATCTGTGAGGTGATCTGAAGAGGGCTGTGCACAGGAGATGCCCTCACAATCTTTCAGATTTGGTGTGTTTTTTTGCAAGGGAGAGTGGGAAAATACAGTCAGGTCCATAAACATTGGGACATCGACTCAATTCTAAGATTTTTGGCTCTATACACCACCACAATGGATTTGAAATGAAACAAACAAGATGTGCTTTAACTGCAGACTGTCAACTTTAATTTGAGGGCATTTACATCCAAATCAGGTGAACGGTGTAGGAATTACAACAGTTTGCATATGTGCCTCTCACTTGTTAAGGGACCAAAAGTAATGGGACAGAATAATAATCATAAATCAAACTTTCACTTTTTAATACTTGGTTGCAAATCCTTTGCAGTCAATTGCAGCCTGAAGTCTGGAACGCATAGACATCACCAGATGCTGGGTTTCATCCCTGGTGATGCTCTGCCAGGCCTCTACTGCAACTGTCTTCAGTTCCTGCTTGTTCTTGGGGCATTTTCCCTTCAGTTTTGTCTTCAGCAAGTGAAATGCATGCTCAACCGGATTCAGGTCAGGTGACTGACTTGGCCATTGCATAACATTCCACTTCTTTCCCTTAAAAAACCCTTTGGTTGCTTTTGCAGTCTGCTTTGGGTCATTGTCCATCTGCACTGTGAAGCGGCGTCCAATGAGTTCTGAAGCATTTGGCTGAATATGAGCAGATAATATTGCCCAAAACACTTCACAATTCATCCGGCTGCTTCTGTCAGCAGTCACATCATCAATAAATACAAGAGAAGCAGTTCCATTGGCAGCCATACATGCCCACGCCATGACACTACCACCACCATGATCACTGATGAGGTGGTATGCTTAGGATCATGAGCAGTTCCTTTCCTTCTCCATACTCTTCTCTTCCCATCACTCTGGTACAAGTTGATCTCGGTCTCATCTGTCCATAGGATGTTGTTCCAGAACTGTGAAGGCTTTTTTACATGTCGTTTGGCAAACTCTAATCTGGCCTTCCTGTTTGTGAGGCTCACCAATGGTTTACATCTTGTGGTGAACCCTCTGTATTTACTCTGGTGAGGTCTTCTCTTGATTGTTGACTTTGACACACGTACACCTACCTCCTGGAGAGTGTTCTTGATCTGGCCAACTGTTGTAAAGGGTGTTTTCTTCACCGGGAAAGAATTCTTCGCTCATCCACCACAGTTGTTTTCCGTGGTCTTCCGGGTCTTTTGGTGTTGCTGAGCTCACCGGTGCGTTCCTTCTTTTTAAGAATGTTCCAAACAGTTGTTTTAGCCACGCCTAATGTTTTTGCTATCTCTCTGATGGGTTTGTTTTGTTTTTTCAGCCTAGTGATGGCTTGCTTCACTGATAGTGACAGCTCTTTGGATCTCATCTTGAGAGTTGACAGCAACAGATTCCAAATGCAAATAGCACACTTGAAATGAACTCTGGACCTTTTATCTGCTCATTGTAATTGGGATAATGAGGGAATAACACACACCTGGCCATGGAACAGCTGAGAAGCTGAGAAGCCAATTGGCCCATAGTGATGTAAATACCCTCAAATTAAAGCTGACAGTCTGCAGTTAAAGAACATCTTGTTCGTTTTATTTCAAATCCATTGTGGTGGTGTATAGAGCCAAAAATGTTAGAATTGTGTCGATGTCCCAATATTTATGGACCTGACTGTATTGCCAAGTCAAGATATGCCATGCTAATAGACTCATACCCAAAAAGAATGAGTGCTGTAATAAAATCACAAGGTGCTTCAACAAAGTATTAGTTTAAGGGTGTGCACACTTACGCAACCATATTATTTTAGTTTTTTATTTTTATTTCCCTCTACCTTAAAGATTTCAGTTTGTTGTTCAAATGATTTGTACAGTTTTTAGGTTACATTAAAGGTAGAAAAAGTTCTAAAATTATTTATCTTTGTCTAATTTTTTTTTACATCACAGAAACCTGACATGTTATCAGGGGTGTGTAGACTTTTTATATCCACTGTATGTACCTGAATTTGTCTTGATTTCAGTCTTCTGCCATCCCCAGCAAAGAAGCAGTGATTTTTTTAAAAAGAGAGGCAGCAAAGGAACCATCAAGATCTACTGCATGCACTTGTGCTGACAGAGAACATGCTAACAGTATGTGAGGACAGAGTGAGCAGAGTCAATGACGCATCAGTGAGTTGCTGCTCATCTGTTATCCAATCAGCAGACTATGGGTGCGGAGGTGGCATTAATGCATTCCTAATTATTTCTATCTGTCCAGTCTGGTAGAGGTGTGTGAATCACAAAAAGTTGCTGAAGAGAATTACAAATTCTTTGGCAGATAAGACAGTTCACACATATATTTCAACTATGCATGTAGCTGTTTGTCTGTAGTTTATTATTCATTTCAAAGTAGTAGGAAGACATTTCCTTTTAATCAAAGCATCATGCAAGCTACAGAATGCAGCGATTTTGAATATATCACACAAGGCAAGCAACTTACTCTAAACGTAGTCTATTGAGCATTATGGTCACATAACATAGCCTTTTCATAATCATGAAAAATTACAATCATTCTGCTAAGAACACTGAATGATTGACGTTGTGTGGTTTGAAAACAAAGATCAGTTTCCAGAATATCATGTAAGATTTCAGTCCTTTGCTGTGTGTAAGCTGTGCTTTCTACCAGAGATATGTAGTAAACTTTGAGGGCAGATGATTATGATGTTCAAGGCTGTGAAGTTCAGATTAGCTGTTCCTTCACAGCAGGAACAAGGTGTATAAAGTGTTATCTAGCTGTCTTAAGTAATTTCCAATACCCTGATTTTTAAAATAGGTCATAAAACTGATCTCCACGTTTAATGTTCATTTAAATAGTTTGTTTGGGCCAAGCTGGCACAAATTAACTATTTCGTGCACCAACAGATGAGCTTGCTGGCCATCCTGTATTACCAGTATGAAGCCTCTGTTACATAAAGTATACAGCACTATGTTCCAGCAATGAGATGGAGACACTCCCGCGGTGCTGAACCATTTACAGGAAGCTTTGTATTCTATGAATGAATACAAAACTTACTCTGACTGCCTGAGGCAGCAAATGTGATGCATCAGCCCGCCTCCACACCTCAGCCAATCAGAGGAAGCTTTGTATTTATTCATATAGCACCATTCAGTCCGACTCTATTTTGTTCCTGGAGTAAGACAGGAAGTCTCCATCTCACTGCCAGAACACAGAGCTGTATACTGTATATAGCTAAGACTATATAATACAGAGCGCCCAGTATGCGCACGTTAGTGCAGTAAATAGTTTATTTGGACCAACTTTCATTTTCTCTCGTTTTGGCCCAAACTAACTATTTAAAGGACACAAGGACATCAGCTTTCAAAACTCTTAACACACATTTTCAAACTAAACACACTTCCAATGCTACTAGCAGCACTTTAAACAAACCACTAAAACTTGAAAATGAGAATGGTTCCATTCAGATGAATGATGTCTAATTCAGTATAAATTTTATATGTATTTTAAACGTGAAATAAAAATCTCAAAAACACAAAGGTTTGAATAGTATATTGTTAATGTATAAGGTATTGAGGATGAAAAAAATCACTATTAAACATTGTCCTAAATTGCATCCTAGATCACAAGGGCAGACCAAGAGGTTGGTATGAAACACAAACCACCAGTTGGACATCACCTTCTGCAAGAGGATACATTTAAGTTGACATTTTTTTTTAATCCAACACAGCTTCGTACCATGTTGGTTCTCGACACCAAGAAAATGGAAACCTGTTGAAGAGAGAATTTATACTACAAAATAGTAATGTTAAAAACTGCTTAAAACACACACAAACCTTAAAAACAGGACACATATTTATGTGAATAGAAACTTGCTTTTGACCAACGTGTGCAAGCTGTGAAAGCAAAGACAGACAGCACAAAATCAATTTGTACAGCTATCACCTGACCTGCATCCTTTCTAGAAGTCCGGTCAGAGCCTGCTGCCAGGTCAATGAATGCATGTATTGTTCAGTGTTTATTATCCGTATTTCAGCTTCCAATTCAGGGACTATGGCCCCAGTCCTCCAGCCATGACGCAGCATTAGATCCTATAAAGAAATACAATAAAAAAGGTTTCCCCAATAAGAGCAGGCATTCTTTCCAGATCTATGCAAGGCTCCTCCTATACATTCCCAGTCCAATATTTAATGGCTCCGATCACATAAAACCAATATTTCACTATTTGGTAAATTCTGGAAATTAAACACTTAAGAGTATGTATGCATTGTGCATATCTCAAGGACTTTAAAGAGATCTTGGTGCTTGATTTACACGGTTATGGATTTTACCTATGGATATTTAGTTAATTTTATATAACAGAAGAGGAGCTGGAACACTGAAATGTCAGTTTGGGGGTGGACTGGTTCTTTAACATAGAAATATGGTTTACTTCAATTAAACTTCAGCTGCTTGCATCCCTTGCTGCTGCCTAGCCAAAACAAACACTGACAGCCTACAATACTAACCTTCTAACAGGATATGGATCTCTCCAGCTATCAGTAGCCTGCTGCTTGCTAGTCATGAACTGGATTTGTGTGAGGCTGAGGAACTGACTGGTTTGCTGGGGCAATGACTGGTTGCTGGGCAGAAAGACCATAAGTGCCTATGCCTCACACAGATTTCACCCATTGCCTCTAACCAGGATTTAGCAGGCTACTGGTAACAAGGAGCCTAATCCTGTTAAAAAGGAGTGTCAGATTTACCAACAAGCAAGGTAGGTTTGAGCCTATAGTTGCTGTTACTGGAAGGCTAGGGCTGTTGTGGGATGGCTGTGCATTTTTTAAATGAGCTGTATGTAAGATGCGTCCAATTTCCCTGTAGAGCAGTATCTAGTGTTTGGGAAGTTTGGTTTCCAGCTTAAGCAGTGTGATGTTTGACTTATCTTTAAGCATATGTAAACATATGCACTGTTGTACTGTGTATATCTATGACAAAAACCCTAGGAAATGTGTTTGGCAGATAGATGAATGTTCCATGTGTTAGAACACTTGTTGCTGATGTTTGTAAAGTACCTTATTTTTGTAGTATATCAATCCCCATAGTCCCTGGATATCCATATAATGGGCACCACAGGAAGAAAGAGGTCAGGGCAGCCTGGCTGCTAACAACAACTTACTTTCAATATGAACTAAAAGGACAGCATGACCATACAGATTATGGTGAAAAGTAATTAAAAAAACCCTCAATCTAATCAGTGCGCAGCATAGCAAATCCCCCTAAAGGCAGTGTATAGATGTGCATCTGGCCAATGGGACATAAAGCAATTATTTACACTGCTACACCCACTGGAATACCGGAATAAGTAATGAATTGAGACATGTGAACACTTGCTGTTAGGGCTTGTTCACTTGTGCGTCAATCCTTTGCATTTGAGCTGCATATATAAAGAGTTTTTAACGCCTCATAGACTCCCTCCAATGCTTGCCATGAAAATTACAATGGGCACCACACAGTGCAGTACACAGGAACGGTAACATTGTGTTGTGCTAAAAATTAAGCAGCATGTCCCTTTCATGAGGCATTGACGCTTGTCAGCCACTCCTGTTAATTTCAGAGGTAATGCACCATAACTGAACCTTAACAGCACCTATAGTATTTATGGTGTGTTAGTGAAGCATTTATTAAGTGTTAGCTGAGTGCTGGGGAGAAGCAGTGGATGCTCCTGTATACCAGAATGCACTGGAAAATAACAGAGAACTAAGACAGAGCAGCTCCAGCCACTTCCTCTTTGTACAGAGCAGCCATGTGGGAACACCTTTTTCTTCCGTGTGCTCGCAAAAGCATTAAGCCAGCCAGCAATACTGACAGTGCCAGGCAGGAGCAGAGGCATTGAGCATTATTGCCAGTGGCAAAGCTGAGCTGAAGCAAGCCAAGTGGCAAAGTATACAAATAAATCTTGCACAGAATTCACAAAAGAAAGCCTGCTGTCACATTATAACCTAAGCAAGTCTCAAAGCAGATCATTTCCTCTTCAACACTTCCTCTTCAGGCACTTCCCTCTAGAAAACAGCACTTTCATGGGCATTTAACAAGCATTCTTGATGCTTTCAACACTTCAAAAACACATAAAAAAACATCATAAATGAAATAGGCGCGTTAATGAGCACTGCCTTGTTCTTCATAATCAACACAAGTGTGAACGAGCCCTTAATGTCACATACAGTAATCCTAGGCAACAGCAAGATGTGGATAGGGAGCAGGGTACCTTAATTGTATTACAGTATTTTAATTGTCTCTTAACAGATAACCGTGTTCCATTGTCTACAGTACACCCACAGACCTGACTTGCTAAAGCAAACGAGGGAGAATATTGAAAGGACAGGTTAGAACACTTTGTTGCTATGGTCTTCTCATGACAGGATGATAGGCCAGCCTGCCATTCCCAGTTCTATAGGCATGAACATATTAAGGATTCACTGGCCAGCACAGATGCCTAAAGGCATTCTGACTGTGACCACCCACTAGTGTCTATGTCAAGCTTTAGTCAACAAGACAATTGTAACTATTTTTACCTTTGGTAATCAGTTTTCACCTTTATTCAGTTTGGAGATATAATTATAATAAAAGAGAATTCATTACTTTACTAGATTCTCCATATTGCTCATTGCCTAACTAAATATTCATGAATGTTTAGGAGAACAGCACAGAACAAGCAAGATCTTCCTAGTTTGGTGATGCAATTAATTTCGGCTATGTAGTGCCACTACTTTTACTGTCTGAAACCCTGGTGCCATCTGACACTTACTGTGTGTCCTTCGGGGCCCCTGAAGGTAGTAGTCTCTGTTTTGATACTTACTCAGACCAGTATTGGAAAGATATTCTTTAGATTGGCCTATATAGTGTTAAAGATGAATTCCAGGCATGGTATAAGTTTATATAGTTACATTGGTCCAGCTTTAACCAATGTAACTATGTACAGTCAGGTCCATAAATATTGGGACATCGACACAATTCTAACATTTTTGGCTCTATACACCACCACAATGGATTTGAAATGAAACAAACAAGATGTGCTTTAACTGCAGACTGTCAGCTTTAATTTGAGGGTATTTACATCCAAATCAGGTAAACGGTGTAGGAATTACAACAGTTTGCATATGTGCCTCCCACTTGTTAAGGGACCAAAAGTAATGGGACAGAATAATAATCATAAATCAAACTTTCACTTTTTAATACTTGGTTGCAAATCCTTTGCAGTTAATTACAGCCTGATGTCTGGAACGCATAGACATCACCAGACGCTGGGTTTCATCCCTGGTGATGCTCTGCCAGGCCTCTACTGCAACTGTCTTCAGTTCCTGCTTGTTCTTGGGGCATTTTCCCTTCAGTTTTGTCTTCAGCAAGTGAAATGCATGCTCAATCCGATTCAGGTCAGGTGATTGACTTGGCCATTGCATAACATTCCACTTCTTTCCCTTAATAAAACTCTTTGGTTGCTTTTGCAGTATGCTTTAGGTCATTGTCCATCTGCACTGTGAAGTGGCGCCCAATGAGTTCTGAAGAATTTGGCTGAATATGAGATAATATTGCCCGAAACACTTCAGAATTCATCCTGCTGCTTTTGTCAGCAGTCACATCATCAATAAATACAAGAGAACCAGTTCCATTGGCAGCCATACATGCCCACGCCATGACACTACCACCACCATGCTTCACTGATGAGGTGGTATGCTTAGGATCATGAGCAGTTCCTTTCCTTCTCCATACTCTTCTCTTCCCATCACTCTGGTACAAGTTGATCTTGGTCTCATCTGTCCATAGGATGTTGTTCCAGAACTGTGAAGGCTTTTTTAGATGTCATTTGGCAAACTCTAATCTGGCCTTCCTGTTTTTGAGGCTCACCAATGGTTTACATCTTGTGGTGAACCCTCTGTATTCACTCTGGTGAAGTCTTCTCTTGATTGTTGACTTTGACACACATACACCTACCTCCTGGAGAGTGTTCTTGATCTGGCCAACTGTAGTGAAGGGTGTTTTCTTCACCAGGGAAAGAATTCTTCGGTCATCCACCACAGTTGTTTTCTGTGGTCTTCCAGGTCTTTTGGTGTTGCTGAGCTCACCGGTGCGTTCCTTCTTTTTAAGAATGTTCCAAACAGTTGTTTTGGCCACGCCTAATGATTTTGCTATCTCTCTGATGGGTTTGTTTTGTTTTTTTCAGCCTAATGATGGCTTGCTTCACTGATAGTGACAGCTCTTTGGATCTCATCTTGAGAGTTGACAGCAACAAATTCCAAATGCAAATAGCACACTTGAAATGAACTCTGGACCTTTTATCTTCTTATTGTAATTGGGATAATGAGGGAATACCACACACCTGGCCATGGAACAGCTGAGAAGCCAATTGGCCCATTACTTTTGGTCCCTTAACAAGTGGGAGGCACATATGCAAACTGTTGTAATTCCTACACCGTTTACCCTGATTTGGATGTAAAATTACCCTCAAATTTAAAGCTGACAGTCTGCAGTTTAAAGCACATCTTGTTTGTTTCATTTCAAAATCCATTGTGGTGGTGTATAGAGCCAAAAATGTTAGAATTGTGTCAATGTCCCCAATATTTATGGACCTGACTGTATATACCGGGTGTCGGCAACCCGCGGATCCGGAGCCGCATGCGGCTCTTTTTCACCTTTCCTGCGGCTCCGGAGCACACTGCCCACCAGGTGACAGGCAATAGGGTCGGCAAGCCGCGGCTCTTTTAATGCTACACCGTTTACCTGATTTGGGGGGATGTAAATACCCTCAAATTAAATGCTGACAGTCTGCAGTTAAAGCACATCTTGTTTGTTTACATTTCAAATCCATTGTGGTGGTTTGTATAGAGCCAAAAATGTTAGAATTGTGTCAATGTCCCAATATTTATGGACCTGACTGTAGACCCCTGGTATATACCATATCTGTCGATGTCCTTGTAACCTGGAAATCACTGAAGTAGACTCTGCTTCTTCAGTGATCTCCACTTATTTCCAGGTCCTGTGCTGAGCAGATGGCCAGATCCTGAACACAGGAGGTCGGCTGTGGCACCATCCAGCTTTCAGGGGCATCAGCCAG